ATCAAGTCATGTACAAAATATAACAAATCATAACATAAATAAGTCATATGACTCGAGTGTGTCATATGTGTGAGACCTATAACTCATAATCAAGGTATGTATGAAACATAACAAATCATGATATAAACAAGTCATATGACTCTAGTAAGTTATATGTATAAGGCCCATGACTCATAATCGAGTCAAGTGTAAAATCCTGTCACATCTACTACAGCTGTCCACATAATATATGAGGAGGAATAAGAGAACCTGGAGAATGGTGATCAGATAGCTTTTGTATAAAATAGACCCAAACTAATAGAGTAATACTACTTCGAAGTTGGAAGTAGTATATAAGGTTACCAGAAGCCTACAAGTACTATAGCTAAAGTCTGTTGTCCTAAATCTGTAAACTTACGAGAGAATTATTAAGGACTTTAATACACTAGTCAAGGTTACAATAAGACCTACCTAGGAGAGTTGACTGTAGGCAGTACCTATTGGTAGTCAACCTCCTAAAAGATCTATTGAGAAAACTATATAGCCATTATTATAAAATAAAATAGAAAAAAGCAAAACTAGATAGATGTTTAGAGACTGTAAAAGCTTGTAGAAGAACTCAGTATATATGGATAGAGTTTCATCGTTGGAGGGAGGGATTCATTTGGTATATTGTACTGATATGTCAATTTTATAAAGTGTTTTTACTCCTGCAATTGGATTAAAGATACGGTGACTAAAATACTTCAATTTCTGTAGATGTCTGAATACTGTGGAGTAGTCTAGTTTACTATAGAAGATCTTTGTCTGACCTGTAAAGGAAGGCTAGACAGCCCATGGAAGTTATATGCTTATATAGTTAAAATAGTGACAAAGAGTACTAGCTAATGATATATGACTACTACTTTAGTATATATGAGCTCTCTTCTATTCTGATAATCAACTACCTCTCAAGATTAGGACTTAATTGAGGCTTAACAATATTAAGCTTTACTATTTTATTTTTTCAACTCTGCTCTTGATTTATCCTTAAGAAAAATTTCTTTAATGTAGTTATAACCTTGGAATTTATCTTCCAACAGGAACCTCCTGTTACAGCAAGTTGTAGGAAAAAATGATGTCTATTCTAAACAGATGGGCATATAAAGTTAGTAATTACTTTTACTTGTACTGGGCTGAGAACTGGAGGATGGCCTGATTACTTGATTAACATTACTAGTAATATGTATATATACTGAATCTAGTATTGGAAAATTTTTATTTTTTCATAAATTTGCTTATACTTCTAACCTATTGAGTGTAGTACTGGTAGTCACATCTTTAATCTCTGGTTAAGTACTTTTGTGGCATATTTGTTAATAATTGAAGTATAATAATACTAAAAAAAAAAAAACATTTATCACCTTCAATCCGTCCATAGTACTACTGGTGTACTATTATAGTTCCTGCTATCATAGTTAAATACTCCATGCTAGCAGAATATTCAAAACTTAGGTACCATATCTTCATACTTCTCCCTAATATCTAACTCCTACGTACTGCTCTGCACTATAATTTATGGTCTACACTTGTTCCAGACTACAGGGCTAGAGAAAAAAATATACTATTATCAGGTCATAAAAAAAATCTCCAAAAGTAGATATAATACCTGATTTCCTTTTTAATTATTTCCAAGAGAAACTTAATACTCACAATAATGTATATATACTAGTAGAAGAGCAATATCACATCTTTTTACATCCTTGCAAATGACCTATGAAGCACTCAGGTTGGTGAAAGTATTGGCTGGTCTCAACTGTTTTTTCTTTTTTCTAATATTGCTTTATATGAAGCCCCCATCCCATACACAATTACCAGTAATAATATTATAGTACATCTTATCCAGGCAGCTTAGTACATGGTCTGGTTTTTTACGGTACCGTATGATATCTTATCAAACTGGCAAAAGACCGGCATTGCGCTTCAACTCCTCACGGAGCCTCATCCTTCCATACCCGCCGGGATTGGCCACAGCCAGTAAGGAGGATAACAGCTCCACCTGTATCATATCACACAAAAAACTACATTATCATGATAATACAAGACACAGCCATTGAAGGAGCAGCTTCAGACCGTTCTATTCTTTTATATATAGGACGGCACTTGACAGTGCGTTGTGCCCCATGTACTGTACTGTAGATTGAAGTCCCGATTGTTTTTGTTTTTGTTTTTTTTTGTCAGTAGCTCACCGGATGAGGAAAGGCGTCAGCCCGAAAACATGGAGTACTGTACCATCCGGAAACAGGTTCAGTAGTCAGGATATTACCATTGCCGCTGCAATCAAACGCATATGAAGGTACAGCGCCTAAGTTTTGGATATTTTGCTAGCAGGGGGTATCCCACTAGCAGGGGTCAGGGTAATAAATTGGGAAAGGTTGCTTAGGGCTGGTGTTCAGTGCAGCAGGATTTTCAGTTCTGTTTTTACACCCTCACTCCTGGACAAATACTCGCTCACACTTACACCTTTACTACAAATAATAAACAACAAATCAAGTATTTATATCCTTCTGTGGGCTACTATACATGTACATGCTTTTGTATCTCCAATTCTGATTGCTTTGACTCTCATGCTAATAAAGGAAAGGACAAACATCACATCTTCACTCCAGGTCTTTTGGCAATTCCTGAGGTCTTTCTGCTTTGTTCCTAGTATACTGCCCTTTGCCAAAGCCCACCGAGGACCCCTGAAATAGGAACTCCCATACAGTTTGGTGAACGAGGTATATTTTCAAATCAAGGACCCATATAAAAAGTCCGCACAAGTTTTTCACCACCTTTTTGAATCCAGCTAGATCCCCAATGTTCTTGCTTTCTTTATACTCCCATCTGATTCAGAACTCGATATTCATTTCTCGCAGTGTAAGAGGCCTCACTGCCACTACCACTACAGTCTTCATGGGAGGCCTCTTTGGAGAGTCTTTGACAGAGTCTTTTAGGGGCTCTGTGGGGTTTTCTAAAAGGTCCTCAGCGGTCTGCAGGGATGGTCTTCATGGGCTCAGCGGGAGTCTTTGGGGAGGCCTTTGGCGGAAGTCTTTGGAGGCTTTTTGGGGAGGTCTTTGGGGGGTCTCTGTGGAGGTACTCAGAGGGTCTTCAGAGGGTCTTCAAGGGCGTCTTCAGCGGGAGTCTTTGGGGAGTCTTGGAGGGGTCTTTGGCAGGGGCTTTGGCGGGAGTCTTCAGGGAGTCTTCAGCTGGGTCTTTAGTGGATGTCTTTAGGATGTCTTCAGCTGGGTCTTTTGTAGGAGTCTTTGAGGGGTCTTTAGAGGAGTCTTTGGCGGGAGTCTTGATAGAGTCTTTGGGGAGGTCTTTGACAGGAGTCTTTAGGGAGGCCCTGTGAGGGTCTTTGAGGAAGCCTTTGGAGGGGTCTTTGGGGAGTCTCTGTGGAGGCATTCAGAGGGTTTCTAGGAGGTCTTTAAAAGGGCCTTCAGCGGGAGTCTTTGGGGGCCCTCTAGGGGTCTTCGGGGGGGCGCCTTTGGGGTCTACAGTGAGAGTCTTCAGGGAGTCTTAGGGAGGTCTTCGGGGATCTCCAAGGGTCTGCTGTATCTAATACTTTGTGAATAGGCCATTTATATCGATCACAGCCTGACACCTCCTCACACCTTGCTTGCATGCTCGCAATAAGCTCCTCAAAATCATGCTCTCCTACATTTTCCCATGCTGCCTTTACTGCAGCTCTCAATTGATCATATGTCATGTTCTTGGAATAGTTATCCTGAAGATAATTCTTCATGATATACCATACCTTTTCAATTGGATTTAAGTCTAGTGAAAAGGCAGGCCAACGAATAACCTCCACTCCTGTTTCCCTTAATTCAGTTATGGTATCACCTGCTACATGTACAGGTGTGCCATCCTGTATTAGCATCAAAAGGATTCCATTTCGGCAATGCAATTTAAGATATCTATGAATAATTGGTACTATATATGCACAGTAGCTTTACGAATTGATTGGCCCCCAGTCCTTTTCCCAGAATATACCTGGACCCTGTATATTACTGTGAAAACACACCCAGAATATCCATCCCTTCTTTCTCTGATGTCTTTCCACTAGGCAAGTAGGATCCCACTCTTCTCCAGTCCTCCATGTCACTCATGTCCTTGTATGCCTTCCACTAGTTATCCAGGTTTTGTTTATCCAGATTTTGTTCATCTACAGTATCAAACCCCATTGTTGCCATGTCTAGTTAATATGCTCCTGTGCCCATTGAAGTCTAATTACTTAATTTTGTTCTGAGATTGGTGGTTTTCTCATGGCCAAACATTGCTGAAATTGTTTCTTAACTAGAGCAGCTCTCATTGCTTTCCTTCCTAATCCGAAATCTAACTCCTCTGTGAGCTATTGAAACAAAAGTCGTCTATTCCTTGCTGACATACATACATATTCAATGAGCTCTTCGATTTGTACTTGGGTAAGGGTAGGAGGACAACTGGATTGCTTGGTTGGTGTGGGTGGTGATGTACATGCATACTGAATTTGGTGTTAAGAGAATCCAGGTTTTTCTTTTATTTATTTATATTTCCATCTGATAGAATGCAGGAGTTAGCAGACATGTCTTTGATCTCGAATTAAGTGTGGCATTTTCATAAAATTGTTGAGACAGGAAAAAAAGGATAATAGCAACTGGATAAAAAGGCTCTGGATTTAGGTCAAATGAGATTCTGATACAATGAAATCACTAGAAATACCAAATCGCAAAGTTACTATAATACATTCTGCTGTGAAAACTTTTTCACTTAGCCTTCCTAACCTCTAACCAACCATGACACTAGTGCTTACTTTACTGCCAGGACCCCTGCTAGTGGAGCACCCCCTACTAGTGGAATATTCAAAACTTAGGTGCTGTACCTTCGTAAAATCAAGGGATAACAGGGTACCGGTACGAGTACAGTACATCGACCAACAGGGTTGAGAAAATACATCTTCGCTCTCCTAACTCAAATATTTCTCTTTTATGACACTATTGCTCAACCACCAAGCCAGTCGGCCAATTTAATCCACAAGGGCTCATTGATGTATTTCATACATATATTTGCATGCATATGTGCTTTAACGCATTCATATCCCTTAAAGACCGATAGGGGAAGAAGAAAAAAGAAAAGAGAGAAAGAAAAAGTAAAAGCTGGAAACCGCTTATCGTACAACGCCTTCGTAACAACCGTGGACAGCACTGCGGTCATTGCACAACATCACTATCTCAACTCACAAATAATCACTCGCAACAACTCAAGCACCTCGGCCACAAGCCACCCACTCAATCCAAAACAATCCGTTTTCAGCAGCTAGAAAGGAAGGGGAAGAAGGGAAGGGAAAGGGGGAAGAAGGGAAAGGCCTCCTCAAATTCGTTAAAACTGGAAAACAAAAAAAAACATGAAACAATGCAACGAGAAACTAGTTAGTCGTGAGCATAGGATAATCGTAAATATAAAAGGAAAAAACTAGCTTTTGAGGGAACCAATGAGGCCCCTTTTACAAATGATGTTTCCACACTCTCTCCCCCGATTCACTTTCACCTCCATTAATCCCCATCCATTCGGATACGTGTGGTTGCCCCATTCCTGTTTTTTCCAATATGGGGGCACTTTTTTAATGTGAATCCAGAGCGTTCTCTTGTTGTGAACTCGCCATCCATACGCCCACGGCTAGGCGGAGAAAAAGCCGGACGCTTACGCATGCAAAACAAATTCACAAACCACCCACAAGACAACCAACAGAGCCGATAGTAACAAATGAAACCAGGAGAGGCGCTACCGAGCCGATCGAATTACCCCCAATGCTGTTGACTGAGAAGCCCATCCTCCAAGTTACCTTCCAAAGTCCTTATCACATTGCGGTTCCTATACTGTCCTCCACGGGCCTGTTGCCGTCCCCTCCCATTACCAGGTTCGTCTGGAATGCCTCCGGGCGGAGGCGGGAAATATGCTGGGCTGGGTTGCAGACGGATAGGTTGTGTAGGATCCATCATTGAGGCAGCTCTTTGGATTTGGGGAGGGACTCCATCCACCATCGTGGCTGAGCGCTGGCGAGCCGCCCGATTGGGGTTCTGGGAATAGAGTGCTTGATGGGAAGCCTGACCATAGCCTGAAGAGACTTGCCCTCCTTGATGCTGGTGTTGGTGCTGCTGCTGCTGTTGCTGCTGTTGCATGATACCAAGTTGACTCCCATATTGGGTACTGCTCGTTGTATAAGCTGGTGGGGCTTGCTGCTGGGGCTGGTTGGGCTGCTGTGTCGAGCTGTAAGCATTATTGTAGACCGTGGGAGGTTGTGGATGTCCTGAGGAGGCTGGGAAATTGCCAAGAGAGACAGCAGAATAATTGGGTTGTGACTGAGCCACATGGGCAGCTTGCTGAGCCTGTTGAGCGCGCTGCTGGGCTTGAATCTGGGCCTGTGCCTGCATCGCTGCTTGTTGCTTTTGCATCATTGCTTGCTCTGCTCTCTGCTGTTCAGCGCCAGACATTGGGGACTTCGGTGGTGGTGATTTAAGATTCATAGGAGGTACGAAAGGTCCCGTGTACTTCTGTTGGGTAATGAAGGGGTGTAGCTTTGCTTGTTGTGGGGACCATCGTTCTACAGGATTGATATTTAGTAAACCCCGAACGAAGTCAATAAAGGCGATTCGATTGTTCATTTCTATATCAACCCATGTTAGAGCGTCCATACCACGGAAGCACTGGACGAAACACACCTCTCTCGATCTCAATTGGTTTCATATTTTTTCGAGGCATCGCATACTGGCGGATTATCTCAGGCAATGTGGTTGCCTGGAAGTATTTCTTGCTAGGTTGCTCCTTCGTCCCGTGTTCTCGGGAGTATTTCTCCATGCTCTTGAGCTGGTAAATCTTCCTCCCAAACTCATCATGTACCTTCTCAAAGAATTCGCCGGCTTGTTTTCCCATCTCGAGCATCCAGACAGGGGGCATTCCAAGCATTTCATTGATTCTCGCTACCTGATTGTACTCAGAGCTACCCGGGAAGAGTGGGAGACCCAAGAATAACTCTACGACAATACACCCAAGCGACCACATATCAATTGACGAGGAGTACCTGCATAGCGTTAACCCACATACTTCAAGGTAAAGAATTCACTTACGGTAATCCTAACAAAACTTCGGGTGATCGATAGAAACGGGATTGGATATAGGTATAAACTGTCTGTCTCTCATCACATGCGGAGCCAAAATCTATGACCTTTATGATCGGACTCTCCAGGCTAGTGCATGACACTAAGGATCAGACCCCACTTCCCAAAATAACGGCAGATAATGATGGGAGACCTACTTTTTCAACAATATATTCTCCGGTTTGAGGTCGCAATGGATGAGCCTCGCTTTATTAAGGAGACATAAAGCGTTCAACAGCTGCTGAGCGAAAACCCGAACAAGGGTTGTGCTCAAGCCTCTAAACTGGTTCTGTTTGATTAGCTCGTATAAGTTGACACTGAGCAGCTCGAAAACAAGGCAAAGATGCTGGCGGTGGATGAAGGTATCCTTTAGGCGGAGGATATGATGGTCGTCATTTTTGTCCAATTTGCTATTGAGCTAGTGTTGCCGTCCAGTCAGTATAGCGGCCTAAAGAGAAGAACTTGTTTAATTTTTCCCTTACCAAATCAAGAACAGAGACTTCCATCATACTCTGGTTAAAGTACGCGGTCCGGTTCTTCACAACTTTTACTGCGACAACCTCCTGTGTTTTAAGGTTCTGACACTTCACAACTTGACCGAACGTTCCTTGTCCAAGGACGTCCAGAATAAGATAACGATTCCTATAACAAAGGTATTAGCCCATCCTCCAGACCCATTGGAAACGGGCATCAGTTTGGCGTACTTTGTTTCTTCTGATCCAAGAATGTCGTTTACATATAATATGTAATCGCTGTCTTCATTATCGTATCCATCATTTTTCACACCCTTGCTTGGCTTGGTTAGGACTCGGCGAGGATTCCTGGAGGATTCGTATTTGAAAGTAGGATTGCATATACGGTACGTAGAAGGGAGATGGGTTGTCAGCGCTTGCAATGGCTGCATCTCGACGTTAGTCGAATTATCAAGGGCGCTGCAATACAAGTCCACATACGCTAATAAATCCACCCTCGGGGTGAGCTCTTCTGAAAGCGGGTTGGGAATTTGTCTGCGGTTTCAAGTCACTCAGTGCAGCGACCCTGGAAAATCTCGGTGGATGTTCCCGGGGAGCGGATTGGTGATGCCCAATGTGCATTTGATCGTACATAGATCCTTGCGGCATCGAAGAACCAGATGAAGAAAAATAACGCCCATTATTGGGATCAGAACCTAGCAGCAGAGGTTTAGTGAAATGGGAACAAAGCTTGGGAGATTACTGCGCAAACCTGAGGAGCCCGAGCCCGACTGTTGCAAATGATGTTGATATGACTGCATGCTCGGGGGTGCACTTGTACGGGGGGAAGCAGCAGGAGGCTGCTGTTGTTGGGCGTAGTAAGACTGAGAACTGCTAGTATAATTCAATCGTGAGGGAGATTGTCGTTGCTGATACGATGAGGAAGACGTAGACGTAGCCATTTGAGGTGGGTAGTTGACCTGAGGTAATGAATGGGTCGATGCAGAAGAACCGTAACCAGCTTGAGGATTAGAGTTTGACCCAATCCCAGTATACCTTTGAGATGCGGGTTCCTCGGGAGACACATAGGGTTGCCGAGAACTTTGAGGCTGTTGGTATTTAGCCCGACCATAGGAATCGGCGTCAGGCATCTGCACATCCATATAATCTGAGGCACTATCTAAGCGTGTAGTAGGGGCCGGCTGCGCAGGTGGAGGTCCCGCTCCCGTGCCATGATAAGCCTGGTAGGGTTGCTGCGTTGTGCCCGGCCCGGATGCTGCAGCCATGCTCGACGGAGGAGGTTGTTGAGGGGGGTTGTGATCTCGGAGGTGCTGCGGGGAAGGATTTTGCTGGAGCACGTTGTTCGCGTATCGTGGCTGTCGGTTCGCCGTAGAATCGGTCGAGTAGGAGGGCCAGGGGTCCATTGCTATCGTATTGGCAAGACCTCACAAGAAACCAAGTATGGAACTTGAGTTGAACGACTACTTACCCAATACTGTTGCGTGGAGCACGAAAACGTTGAAAGACGTTACTGAAACCAGCGACACACCGGACCTCGTCAGCAGCCACCGCAAAGATCGCACCCGGCCAAGCTGCGAGAAAATCGAGAAAATGTTCAAGCCTCCAGATTGCCCGGATATAAAGGTGAGAAAAGGCACACAGAGAGATGACAGAAGAGTGGGGAAACCCTTTTTTCTCCTCTGGCTGCAGAGTGACTCTGAGGATGGGGGGGGGGCTTTCCTGCAGCTAAGTGTGCGGTCGCCGTTGTCGTTGTCAGCAGCGGGGGAGGGAGAGTCCCTGTGTCGCAAGGTGTGGCGGTCGCAACCGCTACTTCCAGAACTGGAGGAAAGAGTGGAGTGCCGGTATCGTAATTCCCCAGCCAGAAGTAGAATAAGGGAGACGGCTCAGAAACCTTACCAAAATAAAACAAGAAGGGGGAAAAAATAAAGGTGTGGACAAACCTTGAAGGAAAAAGAAAGGCGAGCACAAGCAAATCAGAGATCTGGGTTAGGTCTCAACACCTTGCCTGCCATGCCATGTTAAGCTCAATAAAAATTCTATTCACCCAATCAAACAGAACCTTTGATATGGGAGCCGAATTGTGGGCCGGTGAATTGTCTAAGATAACTATACACTACTCGAGTATTTGAGAGAGTAAGATAGTGCCCGTCATGCCGTAGAATCGGGGAAAGGATACAGTAAACTAACTCACCCGCAATCCCTAGATTGGAGACTGACCACTGGAAGTTGCTTTCGATCAAGATATCGGTATTGCTCTGCTGGCTTTTACACCTAAAGCAAGGCACTGAGCGGTGTGTAAGCGCAGTAGGGATACTCTATAAGCGTTACCCGTCGTGCACTACAAACCGCCGGCTCGAAAGCGTCCTGAATATCAGGAAATTGGGTTCCTTGGAATAATCTAAAGGTGCAATTGAAACCCCACTTCTAACTTAAAACATCTCACTACCCGAAATAGCCATTGCACAGGGGGTGGGGGGACTGAGGATACGGCGAGTTTCTACCAAAGTTATCATCTGTCCCCTAGCTGTAGGGTGGCCGAAAGCCTTGCCTATATGCTCGTAACAACGCTTTCATAGAATTAGAGACTTTGTGCTTCAGTAGTACCAGTATCATACCCGAATTATTATGATTGGTAAGCCCCCAATATCAAGGCACAGCACGGATAGGTTAATTTACAAAACAGACATTTTATGAGTCCTAGTGCCATATCCCCAAACTATGGCAGGCTGAAACCATGTAAACCGGCGAGAGCACAGTGCTTGTACACTCGAATCATGGGATGGTTCAGAAAGGGTTTATTACTGTATGCGACACCAATATATACATTAGTTCTCATAGTGATCCACACTACCGTAAGATATTATATATCCCAATCACATATATTGAAATAGGATCTCAACTTGTGTGGGACATGAAGTGCAGCTGGTGTGGAAAATCAAACATCTATCACTATTGCATATGATACCAGTGCATCAAAAAGACAGCTTACTGCACTTATTCAGCGCAAACAATAAAAAAAATATAGGATACAATACATACTCGAGCACATGACCACTTGGGCCCATGTTTTCCAACCTCTTTGAGGATTCCCCGATGCCGAAAGTCTCCCACCAGGCCGATTGGAACAACTCGCTACAGCAAACTAGAAGGGCAGCATAAGCACCATGGGTGTCTCCTCGCTTTTAGGCTGTGCATTTCAATGCTTGCACCTGGAAAAGCACTTGATCAGGTATTATTCGATCCGGGTTATTCCGCCGAGAGTTACAATAGATACCATAGCGGCGCACCGGTGCTCATTCTAACGCTTTGCTATGAATTTGAGCTAATACTACTGCTGGTGGTATCATACTATGCATACATGCAGTTGGACACAAGTACGTGACCGACAAATACTCTCATGTACAGTATGATACAGTACCGGCAATTCTTCAACCGACCGTAATTCCGCTCATAGAGCCACAATTACAAGTACCGGTATCATACTCCCACCTCCCATTCAAAAAATATGTCTCCAACCCCCGTACTGGTACAAGTATGCCTGGATAGGGCTTAGTAGACTTAAGTACAGAAACTATAAGTGCACAGTTATCATATCTAAGCACTCGGAATAGGGTAATAAAGGCTTATTTCTATCCGTAAACCGATATGGAAAGTCTGATGTACGGTACAGTGCGATAGTTGCGGGGGGCGATACATTGATGGGGAATTCTGAAGACCAGTAGTGATTCGTAGGTTTTTCTGGCATAATCAGTACCGGTATGGTACTTGTACCGTGCTCTCGCCTTTCACTCTTGCTATTGGAGCTGCCTGTATGAGTCAACTATTACGGTACTCGAGTATAATAATAGATTATGGCGAAAGCTCTAGAAATCCACCTTCTCCATCAGCCCCGTGATATCCGGATTCAAAGGGAAAGCTCCAGGCCAGGGCCACTGGATGTGTCGAATCTTGTTAACTCAACATCGTAATTCTGGTTAGTTAGTACCGAACATATTATATTAATGTTAACCTGTCAGACCAAACCTATCCTGGGCCGACACACTGGTTCCCGTTATGATCCGATTGGGGCATTTCAAGAGTTTTTACTGTATTGGGAGGGAAGCACGTATCAACAGTAGGTCAACAATGATCAATAACCTCCGTTGCCTGTGCAAAACAACCCATTTTACCAATTTGGGGCTGACCCATGCAAGGGCGCAGGCAGGCCATCCATAAAAAGCACGGTATGGACCAACAAACCGTAAGCTCATCCAGTCCAGTGCGAGCACGAGTACTGTACTCGGGTACCGGTATGATACTCGTACTATGGTAGCCCGGCGCTCAGGCGGAGCACCCCGCCGGTTGAAGGGATCTCTTTACTCCAAGTCTGTCCAAGTTTTTCTCTCACTCAACTTCCGGTTCTGGAAAAGTTGTTAGGTGACTAATTATTGGGTTCGACATTGGATCAAGCACTCGAGTACAGTACAGCCTGTAAATTAGCCGCACCATAAAGTTCTCATACCTCAAGAACTACCGTATACCTATTAATGAGAGGATAGGAAGAGCCTTTTAGGTAACTGCTTTCAGATATGCCTCTGGGGATATTGTAGACTTTTATCGCAATTTGCTTGGCTGAATAGAGGGTTAGCCAAAGCGTTTCCAAGGGTTCGGGGTTCTTTGGAATGGTACGGTACCGGTACGATACGATATGAGAGCTCTACGGATCCGGCTGTGGACGGCAAGCAAAAAAAGGGGGGGGAACTCAGGGAAATCGATTTAATAACACTTGTACCGTAAAAGTACCGTAGTAGATGGTCGCTTGCTCGAGTATACTTGGAAATATTCCCCAAGATCCACAGATGTAGGAGATCCCATAGTGAAGAAATGCGGTGTCCGCTCAGAAAATCTGAGTCGAGTATTGTCAGCTGGGGTCGGGTGGGGGAATTGATTGAGGGGTTGCGTTCACAATACTCCAAATTTAGAAATAGTATCCAGACATCAGCCAACCCCTGGCAGAAAAATTGGCTCAAGCGGATTTCCCTTTCCCACCTCGCCAGCTCCGTTGCTCCCGCAATAGTTCAAAACAACAACCATCAAACGCTCTTCCCATTCGTCTATCGCCCATTTTCTTTTCTTCAGCCAGGCGACCTTTGTGTTTTCCAGCCCTTCGTTCTCAACCCTCGTTTATTTATTTTCCGCTCGTTTACATTAGATTTTGAAGGCATTCTGTTGTTCTTCATTCACCTACCGTTTGTCATCTTCACCGCTCCCCCAATTTTCGAAACGCAGGGGGTAAGTTGATAACTGTTCATTCAAGCCCACCTACCTCCCTTGCCACACCACCCTCGTCGCTTGCCACTCGGAATTTCTTACCACAGCCCACTCTGAATTTCTTACCACTCTCCCTCCACCCAGGCACGACAAACAAACAACCAAGACCCAAAACCCACTGCGAGAACATCTTTGATATGAGGAAAGTACACCTTTTATTCTCCCTTATTCTGTCGGTTGCTGCTTTCTCAGCAAGTGCCAATCCGACAGCAGCCGGTGCGCAGGCGGGTGCCGTTGTACGTCGGGCGGATGGTTGGTATCCTTCATCGTGAATATTTTTGCCCACATCAACAGATGTTGACCTTCTGTCTTCAATAGACCCAACCAAAACTACCAGTGGATCAAATGGTGCGCCAACTTCTGGCGAGGGCGACGCAATAGAAGGTGATGCAACACCAACAGATGAACCAAAGGATCAAAAGACCGGAGAGAGTGGGAGCGCAAAGGCATCTTCGACGAAAAGCAAGAAGATAGCATCTGATGCTCAACCTGGTGGAGTCGTAATGCAGACTCCGGCATTGACCGATGGTTATCAAATCTATAAAATTGGCCAGCCCGTTACATTCAAGTGGAACTACACCAGTATCCAGGCTTCGCCTACTGCCATCAATGTTGAAGCATATTGCACCGACGGTGCTACCTATTTCACTATTGCCGGAAATGTTTCTGCAGATACTACTGAGGTCGTTTGGGATACTGGGGATTACCAGCAAACTGCTACTGCCAAGTTGCCAGGGTCAGTGGTTTGCACTCGATTTGTGCCCGGGGAATTACTGACATGAAATGACAGTGCCACCTACACGCTCTGGATCTATGATGCTTCAAAGGATAGGACAGCAGTTCCATCGCCGGGTTACCTTTATGGCTATAGTTTACTCCAATTTGGGATGTACTCGCCTAGGGCTCCTACTCCTCTCAGCGGTAACACTCTCATTATATTTTAGTATTCTTTAGGGCGAGACTAATATGGGGTCGCGTAGAGTTCAAATGCGCCTCTTGCGATTTTAATAGTGCTGGGCTTAATGACCCCCGTACTGTTCGTGCATTACTTGGTATGGGTTTGGTGACCGCTTTGACATTTGTGTGGTTCATTGCGGGCGTGCTATAGTTATTGCAGGTTGCTCGATTTTCTCTAGCGAGTTTATGAGCCATGATTTCGGCCAATCCAAACGTTGTTTTCACTAGTACAATTCTGTTCATCGTTGTGCCGAGCGATACCAATGGGTTTGTTATCTGTTTTTTCCTTTTGGGTCTTTTTTTTTTTTTTGCATTGCATGGGCATTGGGTACCAATGAACTTCCGTCCTTTCCCGTCCACAAGTGTTACTATTCCTAATTTTTTTAGTAAATTTGTTTCTAGCGGCCCGGCGGGGGGGGTCTTGGAAAATGAAGAAGGGGGAATGTTGTCGAGAACGAGGCGTCTTTATAAACTATACTATCTCTATAATGCTTGTTTGGACGATGGAAATTTTTTGTTTCTCTGTTTACTTTTTCCTGGTGCTCTGTTCAGACCAAGGAGCGTTTAGGTGTCTTTTCTTCTTTCTTTTCTTTTTCCTTTCCTTATTGCTGCCATTTCTATTTCCCTTTTTCATACTTATCTTTTGTTAAATATATTATTGACTTGTTGGGTTTGTTTGTTTTTCTTGGTGGAATGAAATGATCATGGCATTTGCAGCCGCCCCTTTGAACCAACAGTCGGCACTGGGCAGACGATAGCCTGCTAGGCAGATGAGCGATTGAACTCGTTTGGCGGAGACAGAAACTCTGGCGTAGCCTGTGGCCGTCGCTGTACTGCGTACGGTATGATACAGTAGTATGATATGGGTTCTGCGGTGTCATATCATACCGGTATGATATCATAATAGTCTACGGTAAATTTACTGTCAGTGAGCAAACAAACCGTAACATACTGTAATCTTATCGGACAGGTTTTTTTTGAAAATCTTATCAATCTTGGACCCCGATGGATCTAATCTAAACCGGGTGTGAAAGTTCCAAGTCTTGGCAATATTTGGGGAGTCGTGTTTTCGAGCCCCTGAACGCGTCAAAGTGGTCTGAATTCGACGCGAAGTTCGAGGTGTTTCGGCTGATTATCCCCACCCACCACCTCGTCAGAGATTCATACACTTATACGATTTTGGGGAATTGTCATATCGACCACTAATTGCCAAGTGACATACATACAATACCCCAGTACCCATCGAAAATTCCAAAGAATCCTCCCGTAACATTCCTTCACCACAATTATGGAAAGATCACGTCGGGCTGGTGCAAAGAAAACCCCTCACGAGGGATTCAAAGAGCTTCGTGAGCTTAAAGCTTCCGGGAAGACGCGTTTGTCTGGGTACAAGGTCGAGGAAGAGGAGGACTTTTATGATCTAGTGGACGAGGAGGAATACAAGAAGGTTGTGCGTCAGCGTCTTGACCAAGATGATTTTGTGGTAGATGACCAGGGGGAAGGCTACGCAGACAATGGGATGGATGACTGGGATGACGATCATCGCCGGGAGGGAAGTTGGGAGGAGAGTGAAGATGAGAGGTCAAAGAAGGGGGGAAGGTCGGCGAAAGCCAGAAAGGCGGAGGAGCAGAAACGGAAGGGAGAGCAAGAGGGGAATATCCGAAAATTCTTCAATTCGAATACCGCACCCACCGCCAAACCGAAGGTTTGTTGGTTCACTCCATATCCCCCATGGTTGCGCCCCGAATTGATACTAATGCGCCGAAAAATAGCCCAAGGTGAAAGAAGAAAATCTCAACTTTTTGAACGACCTTCTAGGGGAATTCGATAACGACTCTCCGGCGGAGCCGATATCGTTGATGAGTAAAAGGCCTAGAGGCGACCCTGTGGCAAAAGTACGCCGGCTTTCACCTCCCCTGAAGGACTCAAAACCCACCAGGATGGACCAAATTAGTCAAGCCGGAGGGGAGGGCGAGAAACCGAGTTTTGCAGGCTCTTCACTTTCCAATGCCGGAAATGCTGATAATGATGACCAAGACTATGGTTCTTTTGATGAAGATGTAGATATGGGCGACGCCCCGGTAGTACCATCTTCTCCAATCGCGGATGCCGTCAAGAGGAAGCGCTCGAAAGATGAGGACGAAGATGATGAAGATCTTTCTGTTGCGCGGATTCAAGGTAGCAAATCTATCAAGGTGGAAGCTGTCAACATCATTGCTTCGAGGCCGGCACTCAAGAGTCAAACTGTGAAACAAGAGGCAGTTGTACCCAACAAACCAGTCGCAGCGATTGATCCTACAACCTGGGCATCGTTTGCCGGAGGGGACAATGTCACGAGCTCTCCTGCTTTAGATGGTTCTGACCTTGAAAAGCTGGGGCCCGAGGACGTTGAGGAAGATGGGTTCATTAAAATGTTCTGGTTAGACTATACTGAGGTTCATGGGAGCCTTTGTCTTTTTGGGAAAGTTCAAGACAAAAAGTCGGGGAAGTATGTCAGTGCATTCCTAAAAATTGATGGAATACTCAGAAATCTATACTTTTTGCCAAGGGAAACAAGATACAGTGAGTGACCTGTGTGGTTTGGTTGACTGGATGGGAACTGACAGCGCCCTAGAGAATAAATTGGACACTGGTGAGATCGTAGCAATGCAAGATGTCCATGATGAGATCGCAGAAATCATGGAACACCATGGAATCAATTTTTTTAAGGCTAAGCCATCATGGAGAAGGTATGCGTTTGAACTTCCCGGTATTCCTAAAGGAAGCGATTACTTGAAGGTTCTATATCCATATACCAGTATGTATCACCTGCCATAAAATCTAAGAACAGTATCTAATGGTGGGTACAGAGCCACCCTTTTCCCATGAGCTTACAGGGCAGACATTCTCTTGCGTTTTTGGAACAAGCACAGCTCTCTTCGAGCAATTCGTGTTATGTAGAAACATTATGGGCCCTTGTTGGTTGAAAATCGAGGGGGCCAATTTCACTGCAGTGGAGAATGTAGGGCTTCTCCCCTCGCCACTCGGGATTCAATAACTTATGCAAGCATATCACAGTCATCGTGGTGTAAATTAGAGATCCAAGTCGCCGAACCGCAACAGGTTACTACTATCGGTGATGCGGATTCATTGGAACCTCCTCCTTTGACATTGATGAGTATTGCATTACGCACACACATGAATGTCAAGGATAACAAGCAAGAAATTCTTGCTGTGAGTTGCAGGATATACGAGAATATCTCACTAAATGATGCAAATGCGCCGGAGAAGCTCTCATGTCAAATGTTTTCCGTGGTTAGACCGATTGATCCAGTGTACCCAGCTGACTTTGAAAAGCTTGTTCAAAATCACAAAGGCACTATCAGCCCCCAGAGAACTGAGAGCATGCTTTTGACCACATTCCTCTCCAAGCTTCACCAAATAGATCCCGATGTTCTGATCGGACATCAGTTAGAGGGTGTTGACTATGGGATCTTGCTGCATAGAATGAAAGAACGCATGACTACTAATTGGCACCGACTCGGACGGATGAAGCGAAGTGCATGGCCCCAGTACGGCGGCCGAATGGCAGGAAGCTTCTTTGCTGAGAGACACCTTGTCTCTGGCAGACTTATTTGTGATCTTGCCAACGATCTTGGAAAGGTCTATACCCTTTACATATAGCTTAGCTCACGACTGATTTTGCTGACCGTAATATATAGTCCCTTACGACGCAATGCCAATCCTGGAGTCTCACGGAAATGTGTGACTTGATATTGGGGGATAAACGGCAGGACCTCGATAATGCTGAAGCTTTGAGGACGTGGGCAACCACTGGTAGAGGTTTGCTCGATTACGTAAAGCATTGCGAGGCCGATACATATTTCATCGCGGCCATTGCACTCAAGATCCAGATAGTACCTCTTGCCAAACAGCTCACCAATCTTGCTGGTAATTCATGGGCCAGAACTATGAGCGGTACGAGAGCTGAACGCAATGAGTACATTTTGCTTCATGAATTTTACCGCAATAAGTATATTTGTCCTGACAAGGTGTACGGCAAGGGTAATACCACTCAGAAAGCGGACGGAGCTGGGAATGAGGGGGAAAATGAAGGTGGCGGGGTCAAGAAGAAAGAGAAGTATAAGGGTGGCTTAGTCTTTGAACCGGAGAAAGGCCTCTACGACAAATTCATTCTTGTCATGGACTTCAACTCCCTATACCCCAGTATCATCCAGGAGTTTAACATCTGTTTTACGACAGTCAAGCGGGATGATTCGGTAAGCCACCTCGGGGCGTTTTCAGGCCCGAGCCTCTAGTGGCGTCTATCCTAATATTTGGCGTAGTGTACTTCTTACTGACTTAAACCATTCTGAAGGGTGAAGAGAAAGTCCCTGATGTGCCTGAAACACAGGTGTTAGGGATATTGCCTAGACTTATCTCAACACTTGTCCAACGTAGAAGGATCGTCAAGAATCTCATGAAAGACAAGACAGCCACCGATGTTCAAAAATCACAGGTAACCTTTTATTCGAGCCTTCAGAGAAAAGTTGGGCTAACCGTTTCTGAAGTGGGACATCAAACAACAAGCTCTGAAGCTTACAGCGAACTCTATGTACGGATGTCTTGGATACCCCCGTTCCAGGTTCTACGCTCGTCCCCTAGCAATGCTTACAACCCATAAAGGACGTGAGATCTTGAGGAGCACTAAAGAACTTGCGGAGGCTATCGATCTGCAGGTCATATATGGTGACACCGACTCGGTCATGATTAATACTGGCGTGGACAACTATGCCGACGCAATCAAAATTGGGACTGATTTCAAGAGAAAAGTTAATGAGCAATACAAACTCCTTGAGATTGACATCGACAATGTGTTCCAGCGGCTACTGTTGCATGCAAAGAAGAAATACGCGGCAATAAATTATGTCGAGATTAACGGAAAATTAGCTACGAAGTTGGAGGTGAAAGGTTTGGATATGAAACGAAGGGAATATTGTCAGCTATCGAAAGACGCCTCGTCGTAAGTTGGCTCATCGTTGAGAGTATCGTCGTTCTTGGTACTGATTATTTTGCCAGGCACATATTGGCCGAAATTTTCTCGGGGGATGACACCGAGGTTGTTGTAGAGAGGATCCATGAATACCTCCGTGGCCTAGCTGAGAAGGTTCGAGAGAATGCGTTTCCCTTGATGAAATATATTATATATACCGTAAGTCTTTGCTCCTTCCCGGGGTCTCGAAAGACTGAATTAACGACCACTTAGAAACTCGGAAAAAGCCTCGACGAGTATGGTACTAGCTTGCAAACTATGCCCCAGGTCCAAGTGGCTTTGCGGAAGAATGCCCGCGGGGAGCCCGTAAAAAGTGGCGACGTTGTTTCATATGTCATTACGGGTGGTGAAGGGAGTGAAGCACCAGACAAGAATGTTTCCGACCGAGCTTACGCACCCCAAGACATCATGAAGACTGATTCCGGCTTGAAGCCTGGTTTGTTTCAACCCTTGAAAGAAACATCTTGTACATCAATTAACCTTTAGTAGATGCGGAATGGTATCTTATCAAACAGATATTTCCACCTATTGAACGTCTTTGTGGGCCCATCGAAGGAACGGATGCCATGAGGCTGGCAGAGTGCCTTGGGCTTGATACACGCAAATACCAGATTACCAATGCCCCGGATCAAGAAGACCGCACCATACATCCCTTGGAATCCACCCTTCCGGATGAGGAGAGGTTCAAGGATGCTGTTAGACTCCAACTTCAATGCCGGGCTTGTGGAGAATCATTCCAATTTGAAGGACTAATTTTGTCCTATGAGTGCTGCTCTCATGAAGGAATCGTTTGCAGAAACGCGTCTTGCAATAAAGTATTAAGCGTCCCGTCGATTGTGGCACAGGTTGAGTGCCAAATTCGCCAACTGACATCAAAATATTATGAAGCCTGGCTGGTTTGCGATGATGCCGCCTGTGGAAACAGAACACGGCAAATGAACGTCTATGGGAAACGTTGTCTTGGGCCAAACAGACTTGCAGATGAGTGTAGGGGTGTCATGGGATATGAGTACACAGATAAAATGTTGTACACCCAACTCTTATATTTCTCCAGCCTTTTCAACGTTGGGAAGGCAACAGCAAAACCGAAAGATGGTTCAGAGAAGCAAGGTTAGTTTACTCCCCTCTCTCCGTTTCACCTGCATTATGGTATGCGGTTACTGACACATTCCTATGGAGGTTTACAGAGACCATCACGGCATTAGCTCGAACGAACCAACCGAGGTTTGAAGTGATCTCGAATGTCGTCCAGAAATACCTTGATAAGTGCGGGAGACAATGGGTTTCAATGGATAGTATATTCGCTTTCAGTGTTGGGGTCTAGATTCTAGTCACCATCCACTGCCTTCTGGGATTTCCAGAGATCTACTTGCATAATACGATAGACTACTTTGACTAGCCATTTTCACCACAGATAACGACCTGGTTTGGCCTAACCTGTGTGTCCTTGATCTTATGACGGAAGGTGTGCCCGAAACATACCCCATGTATGTTAAACTTTAGTTAGATATTATAATAGATTTGCGATATGCCAATGCAGTGGGGTATTAAAGGGATTGAAGTGATTAATTTTGGTAAGATCGTGGCCCAATGGGATAACTATGAAGCTTTTTCACATAAGAGGGGCTTTTAACACATGCGGCTGTCGCCGCTGCCAAGACCCGGCAAAGGGCTAGGGCAGCGCTAACTTACTCATGGCAGAAAGAGAAGAGAAAATTTTTTGGAGACGATAGGAAATATTCCGGCAAACCTTTACAACACTCTCCCACTCTCTACTTTACACCTCCCAGCTGTGCTGAGAATCCTCTGTTGCCCACAATTCCTCTTATCCACAGTTATTCCAACAAGTATTTTGTCATAGGCAGGCGGCTGAAAATACAGAGGTTCAATTGGGGCTCCAGTTCTATCGCGACATGAGGCGTTTCTCGGTAGGTCTACACCCACGCCCCTACCATCATCTATTACCACCCCCGGTTCTTTCTTGTTTTTTCTTCTCGGTGTCTTGCACTCTACACCTGATACTAAAACTCTCCCTTTATTTTGTCCTTTGGCATATACCCCTACCTTTATATCTTCCTTTATTGCACGCTATTTTGCTTATTCACTTTCAGAAGATTATTAAACCGCTAACACTACCGCCAAACTTGTAGCTTTCACATTTGCGACTGATAATGCAGCATCAATCTCCGGGCAAGGGCTTGGCCACACACTCGTTATCAAGCACATGGCGTCCCTCTTTGAATAGGACTTCAGTGCCCGGTAGCCAGGACCGCTGGGCGTCCGCCCACGCTGCACAGGAGGAAGCATGGACACAGTACGATGGGCTCGGGCCAGTCAACCCAGTTAGAGATTTGTCGCGGGATTGGAGATCTAAAGGTGGAGCAGGACAGCAACCCATGTCACACGGATCGCAGAGGGGAAGGAGCGCAGAGATTAAAAATCCTTTCGGCAAAGGGGCAAACAAAGGCCGGAGTGGCGTTGGGTACCGGGAGACCTCCAGAGACGGTCGATCACCCCCGTCAAAACGCGGACGACAAGCGCAACCCATGCGCGGACCGAGCCTTAAGACCGAAATCGTGGATGACATTTGGTTAACCAAAAACTTTGAGCAACCACAACCTGATGATTACAAGAGTGCCCCTGAAACTCTATTTACAAACCCGAAAACGTTTCTATGGGATTACAAGGGAATTGCGGCTAAGTCCTCTTTCGCCTCGCACAAGGGCGGCATATACCGGTGCACTGTTATCGCCACCCTCCCGGATCGGACAAAGATAGAAGCTTGTGGTGATGCCAAGAATAAGGTATGATGTACCATTCTTTCGCGGTCAGGCAGGGTTCCAATTGTTGACATGAAGTAAAGAAAATAGCTGAGAAGTCGGCGTGTCGACACCTGGTTCTGAAACTCCATCAGAATGGCATGCTTCAGGGGATTGTTAATAATACAGAGAGCGCAGGGGTTCATGACAAAGAGTTGCTGAGTGATGAAGTCGATGCCAAGATGGACATCTACGATTATTGCGCAAGATTTGATGCTGTACCAACGGTCAATGTTCGGGAGACCAAGGGACCGGGCCCTCGAAAGGGGTTGTTTGAGGTCACTGTGGGATTTCCACAGCAAAATATTCTAGCCACAGCTCGTGCGTCCGAGCTCAAAAATGCCGAAATTGTTGCCTGCGTGGAGTTCAAACGACAGGCTGAAGAATTTCACTCCAAACAAGGAGGCTCTACAATCATACTGAAGGATATATCGAGTATCAATAGCCGAAACGCCCGAAAATTTTTCGAATTCTTCAAGGTGTTCGACAGGCAAGCGCGCTATGATGTTGAGCTCAAACAAACCTCTGGAAGGAGGGGCTCAGGGGGAGCATTTAGAGCCCAGATGATGCTTAATGAGGAGCCTCTTGGAGAACCTGTGGAGTTTGTCGGTAAGAAGTACGCCGAGACTGCGGCATTCCTTACGGGCGCAATTGCATTGAAGCAGATACGCCCCGAGTTATTTCCGAAATTTATAGAAGCTCTTAGGCTTGGAAACGGAGAACTCCTAAAACCATTGCTCCCTTCATGGATTAACATCGATGGGGACTGTATAAGTACCATGACGGACACGTTGCACGCTGTGAGGCGTATCGGCATGCCCCCAAGTCAAGATGAAGAGGACTGGATGGAGCAGGAGCAAGCGCGGAATTCTTCGCGTTTCGGACCTCGCAAGGCACTGGACCCGGCCTTTGTCGGGGTAAAGAGCAAGAAACTACTGGAATCATATGAAGAGTATCTGAATGATCCTAAATTGGAGACTTTGAGGAGTAAGCGTGAGGAACTGCCAATGAATCAGTATCGGGCGAAAGTTTTGGATATTGTCAACAATAATGCTGTGAGTATTATTGTAGGTGCAACTGGTAGTGGAAAAACTAGTAAGTTATCGTCCCTAATACGATTTAGATTCAATGCTTTTTACTTACTCCTTTTTAGCCCAGGTGCCTCAAATTTTGTTGGAGGAGGCGATCAAAAATGGGACGGGTGCGAACTGCAATATTATCTGCACCCAGCCTAGACGTATCGCTGCCACCTCCGTAGCTGCGCGAGTAGCTGTAGAGCGAAACGAGCCGCTTCAGAAATCTATTGGTTACCAAGTTCGATTTGATTCCAAATTACCTATTCCAGGTGGCAGTGTCACCTACTGCACTACGGGTATATTGCTGCAACAACTTCGCAACTCTGCAGATGAAGCCTTGGACGGAATCACGCATCTTGTTATCGACGAGGTCCACGAACGCGATATACTTATCGATTTTCTACTAATTATTCTTAAACGAGTCATGCATGACAGAATGAAGAGAGGGTTGCCGGAGGTGAAGGTGGTATTAATGAGTGCTACCATGGACACGGAACTTTTCGCAAGTTACTTCCAGTACAAGACCGCCGATGGCAGGCTTGTCCCATGCCCTAATCTGAGCGTGCCGGGGCGTACATTCCCAGTAAAGGAGGTCTATCTGGAAGAAATCCAGGACGCTTTGCGTAATACATATTCACCCCACCAGCTTTCCCTACTTCGCGATGAAGATACTCGCCTGTATCTTGATGTGGAGCAATCAATATCTAGAGACGTCTCCCGAGTTCCATCAAGAGTTCCGTCAAGGGCTACATCTGCTCGAGGCGAAATGGAAGAAGATGGCGCTATTGACGCCACAATTAATTGGAAACAGGAAATCAAACTTGGTTCTGACGGCCAAGCCGTAGTTTCTAGCGAGAAGGAAGACGCCCTCGTCCCTATTGGACTTATCGCACTTACCGTAGCACATATCACCCAAATCAGCGATCATGGCGCTATCTTGATCTTCTTACCTGGGCTTGAGGAGATACAAGCAGTGGATGAGGTCCTTCGAACGCAAAGGCCTTTAGGGGTCGATTTCAGGGATGAATCAAAATTTAAGCTCAGTATGCTCCACTCTTCCATTCCGAATCAGAATGAAGTATTTGAGGACGTACTAGAGGGTCGTCGGAAGGTCATTCTTTCGACCAATATTGCAGAAACCTCCGTCACTATTCCTGACGTCAGGTATGTCGTGGACAGTGGAAAGTTGCGAGAGAAACAATATGAGCAAGCACGGAGAATTACCCAGCTTGTGTGTACCTGGATCAGTAAATCAAATTCGAAGCAGCGTGCTGGCAGAGCGGGCCGTGTCCAAAACGGAAATTACTATGCCTTATTTAGCAAATCACGATCTGATTCCTTACGTGGCACTGGGCTTCCGGAAATGCTTCGATCGGACCTTCAAGAAATTTGCTTGGATATCAAGGCTCAAGGGTTTAAGGATTCGGTCGCCCAGTTTTTGTCGGAGGCTATCGAACCCCCGTCACGCAATGCGATAGAAGCCTCGTTGGCCCAGCTTCGTTTGTTAGGTGCTCTCACAGAAAATGAAGGATTAACTCCTCTCGGACGCGTCCTTGCAACTATGTGAGTTATGCTGATCGACTTATGGGAACTTGTTTCACTGACTTTGGTAGGCCCGTTGAACCTGCTCTTGGCAAGATGATCCTCCTTGCTGTCATCTTCCGTTGTTTAGATCCAATAATGATTTTGGGATCCTCATCTGGCGTTCGCGATATATTTGTCGCCCCCCCCGAGCGCAGGGCAGAGGCCAACCGTGTAAGGAATTCTTTCGTCAGAGACACTGGTAGTGATCACATGGCATTGATAAACGCCTTCCGTGAATGGCGGTCGATTCGTGATCGTGATGGGATGCACGCAGCCCACCGCTTTGCTGAAGAGAACTTCCTTCATCGGGGTGCACTGAGGACTTTGGACGCAACCACTCTCCAGATCGAAGAGCTTCTGGTTAAGGCAAACATAATACCACATGTACGCAGGTACGAGAGGAACCGATCCGAAATTGGGCATCCCTCTTCAAATCAGTACTCGGATCATGTCCCGCTCATTAAGGCGCTCACACTTGCGGGAATGTACCCCAATATTGCCGTTGCTTCCGGGGGCAAAGGATTGCGTACGCCGAACGAGAACTTTTCTATGATTCATCCAACATCTGTCCACTATACCAATAGGAGCGACTCCGGCATGCCTTTCGGGACCCTTGTAACCTTCACAACGAAAGCAAAAAGCAATGACGGTGGAACCCTTCTTTTGCGGACTGTCACTGAAGCTAGACCCCTCATGGCTATCCTTTTTGGTGGGAAGCTGGAGTCTAGTGGCACCATTGTGGAAATCGACGGTTGGCTACCTTTCCAAGTACCCCCGCCAGCCGTGAAGAAGACGAATGAGTTCAGAATGTGCCTCGATAGAGTATGTACTCCCTTAGTGTCCTCCGTAGATTCCCACTAACGAGGTTTTAGTTACTTGGCCATGCCTTCCGCAGTCTTTCTGAGAGAAACTTGCGGGGCAATAACTTTTTAGCCGATAATAGAGCTCGTGAAGCTTTCGCCGAGGGCTTAGTAGAAGTGTGTTCTATCAACTCCTATTCCTTAATCGTCTCCTAACTAAAAATATCATAGCTTCTCAAAATTGACAGTCAACAAATCACCAGGAGAGCTGTCTCCGCTGAACGAGAACGGGGATCTGCGTCTGGACACGGCCGCAACCAACCCTGGGATACAGGCAGGCAGGCATTCGGCGGCAACCGAAACCAATCCTTCGATCGAAGGAACCAGCCCCGCGGCCGCGGCAACAGTGGCATCGGATTCGCCCGAAGGGACCAACCCTTCGATCGCGGTAACAGCGGCGAGAGGTTTAGCAGCCAGAACCCCATGCCCCGTGACCGCTCCCTTGATAGAAGCAGTTTCGGCCAGGACCCAGCACCCCAGCGCGGTGGCGGCAATAGTGGATCCTCCTTCCAACGCGGCAGTGGCTTCAGAAGAGAGCTCTCAGCTGGCGGACGAAGCGACTGGGGATTCAATTCTAGTAGTGGTCGAAGATTTTAAGTGATATAAGAAGGTTCTTGTTTCTCCACCTTTTTCTTTTCTTTTCTTTTTTACCTATTTCCTTTTCATCCATCTATCCAAAATCAATTATCACCCGCAATGGTCTGGTGATTGGGGGCGCTGTTATTTTTGTCTTTTCTTTTTTTACCATGTGTTTTATAAAGGCTCCTCTTCGCTTTCTTCCTTTCTTCCTTCCCATTGGTACTCATAAAGGCTCTTTTCCTCTATTTGACTTATAGCACTTGCGATACACCCCGAGCTTTACCTACTTACACTACCTACCTCCTATTATTGTGCAATTCATAAAACCCACCCACCTACCTACCTACCCCATGCCGCATTCCATCATCCATTTGCTTGTATTTCTCTTTTCCTTTGTTTTTCCTTTCGTCCCCATAAATTGTTCCCCAGGGTTTCTTCTCTCCAAAATCTGATGTTAGCATCTGGGTATGGGGTTCTAAACAAAACAAGGATTTCCTTCATGTCCTTATGTTTTGCATTGTCCTTATTGGTTTGTTTAGATGGGTTGTGTAGTTCGGTTTGATATGGTTTGGTATATAGGGGGTTATGATAAGGTGGAAGGATGAAGGTTGCTACGGGAATTCTTTATAAAAAAGCATTTGTATGATTACTGGCCTCCGTTAATAGAGGAAAATCTCCCTTTTCGAAACCCTTTAGGCCGCGGAGGGGGCCCTACTGCCGTAGCCAGTTCTAGTACTCGAGTATGATACGAGGTATGATACAAGTATTGTGTTCCCCGGAGACAGTCTACGATAGCGCCATGAGCTCGTAAAGGCTATTTCGCAGGCTCACGAAGTGTCAAGCGATCCTTGCGAATTTTTTTTATTTTTTACCTCGTCAAGTCCATAGAGTGGAATTGTTCATAAAAATTTGGGTGCTGTTCGGGGAAAATCAGTTAGAGGCACTTTAAGTTTCAGGATGATAGCAACCAATCTCATTTTGCAAAAATATATCTCAACAACAAAACAGAGTAGAAAAATCAGGAATGCAGGATAAACAATAAGTATCTTTACCCACACCATTCTATGTAGAATAAGAAAATTTTACAAGAATAATATGTTAAGACTTGGCTTGGACATGAGGATTTTACAAAAAAAAAAAAGTTTATATCATACGGAAACAAATGAAAATTATGCAAAAATTTACACAAGTTTTAACCTTTGTCAACTGCTTTTCTCTTAAGAATCCTTATCTTGATCTCTGTTGCGCCCGGTTATTCTTATCAAGTCTATACAACATTAAATTTATAAAATATATCTAAGTTATCATCAACAAATTCGTCAATAACAGGCTGTGTTCTTCGAGGTATTTAACAAGTTGCTGGTGGGTACAACAACATTCAAGGTGAGCTATATTTCTATACAAATTTTTTTCTCTTAAATTAAAAAAATACATTTCAAGAGGACCATATGCTACCGTACTCTATCACTTACGGATCGTTAAGAATTATATTTGCACGGCTTAATTTGTGGTAAACCGGGAAGTTTACTGGTTTTGGCTGAAATGCACCCAAATACAGGAATATATCCATGCCAAGCACCCTGGAATGGTCAAACAAATAGGATTCAATGATAACATTATTGGGATCAGCCAGCGAATCATAACTCATCGGCTCTCATCCATGGTCCCTTATAAGGAGGACAAATCTCCACCTATACTGTGCTAGTACGGCAAAATTAATCTTATGAGCAGGAAGGAAGGGAGGAAGGGGAAAAGGAAATTTCCTCAACAATTTCCTTCCTCCCTTGCAGCTTGCTGTTCTTCCAGTTAAATTCTTGGGAACCCTGGCTTGGTTCTGCCGATACTACCCGTTAGAGCTAGGTAGTCTGAGATAATTTGGTGGGAGGTCTAGGGCTCCCTCCTTCAACGATCACATTATGGGTCTTGATCCTGATTTGACTAGTCCGTCCGTGTATCGAGGTAGCTCTTGTTCGCTCTCATTTGGCCTACTTTGCTAGCCTAGAACTTGGGAAGTATCATGAAGTTACAGCATTCCTAGTAAGGTCGGTATGTGTGGTACGGCGGATATCTCATCTCCACTCGATGCAGTTATTAAGGGGTGCGATCACGCTTTATACTCGGGTATCATAGCATCGAATTTTCACTCATTAATTCATCCGCTTCTGCTTCTGCTACTACTGCTACTGCTGAGTACTACTGGTGGACCTCCCTCCGCCGCCGCCATCAACACACTTCCCATCTACACGAGTGCCTTATGTAGTGCTTCAACCGGACCCCAAACGGACCTCGATACAGTCCATCCAAAAGACCAATCCTCGTCGCCGAGAAATCACACATCAATATAAGCACATTTTTGGCACAACCGCAGCAAGTGAAAAATGCTAGGTTGTAATTTGACATATGTGCTATGCATCATGAATATCATCACATCGCATGACATATTGACAAAAATGACCGAACAAAACAGAACAACTATTATCTCAGATATTATCATCAAACACCCCAATTCATTCATTCAACCCGACCTAACTGTAGACGGCACATATGACGGGACAGGGGGGTAAATCAAACAAAACGCAGCGCCTGGCCCGGCATCTCCTGCCCCCCAGATTGCTGTAAAGTAAAGAAAAAGGAAACCCGTAGCATTATAAACAAAAAGGGAAGGGAAGGAAAAAGAAGTGGTATACATCACCAATTGACATCGCGGAGGAAGAGTCGCCGCGTTTGAAAAAAGAACAAATCGAACGTCAAATGGTTCACAAGGAAGTATGCATAACGCCTCTATCATTTCACCAGCTTTCGGGAGATATCCTGACGCGATTAAAAAGGTAGTATACCAGAATAGATTGGAGTGAATGGATTAGAGCTCGCCGTGCCGAGCATCAGCAACCGGATTGTACCCTGGGGGTCCGAAGTTGCCCTTCCGGAGTTCCTGGAAAGCAATGTCGAACCGGGCTCCCATTAACCATGCAGCGAAGATCTTGAATCCCAATCAGCACATTTTAGGGAAATAGGGTACCCGCGTATAGGCTTACCATTACTCCAGAAATTACACTCAAGGTCGCAACAATGGCACAGATCAAGAACATCATCTCCTTCTTCGCTGCCGCCGCTTGCTCTGGCGTCTCGCCCGTAGCTCGCATCTGCGCACGCTGTGCAACAACCCTGGGCTCAACCGCAGTTGGGAAGATGGTCTCAATGAATTGCTCAACCTATATCCACAATAAGCAACAGCAACCAGACCTCACCAAAAGAGCAAAACAAACCTTGCCAATAGTGACGCTGATATTAAGGAAGTTGGGATCTTTGGGGGTGTTCTTCTTGTGAATGATCTTCATATATTTCCGGAAGATATCACAAGTAGATCGCAGATTTCCGGCCTCAATCATGAGCTCGCAGGCCTCACCCTTAGGGATTTTCACGTTCTTGTGGAAGACATCCTTATTCCGGAACACCAAGGCCAAGGTAGCAATTGCCATCACCTGAGGGATAGCGGTAAAATTGAACACGCTCTGATCTTTGATTCCAGCAAGATAAAATAAACACTCATCAACATGTTGAAGGGAATTCAAACACATCTCAGAGATACAATTCAATGCCGCCTCCTCGTTCTCCGGTAAGTGCAATTCCTCATATTTTTCAATATGCTTCGTCCAGATCTCCTTGGGCCAGAATCGTCGCTTATCGTCGAGATCCTCCCTGTAATCACGAATAATGTTGGTCTTTTGAAGAAAAAGACCCATCGAGTTGATTAGATGAGGTCGTTCGAGGAGAGCCGGGTTGGCTTTCCCGGTGTCAACGAAAAGGCGTGTCAACCCGTCGCCAACTAGACCGGCAACGTAATGACAGTACAGGTCGTAATCAGCGATTGTGTTGACTCCGTTAACATTATGCTCGGCATTGTTAGCGTAGTCGGCCATCCCGTTCCCCATCTTCTTGGTAATGTCCTTAATAATCGCCCGATGGCTCTCGGACAATAGGGCAAACTCCGTAATCACATTGCTGAACTCCACAAGGAGCTGCTTATCCTTCTCCTTGGGCCCATTACCGTCAAAAGTCCACCCCTCTTTGTCGAGAACTTTGTCAAAAGAGCGCAAAAGGGGCTCCTTAATTTCTAGTGGAATGGTCATGTCATCCTCGATGGTGTCGAGACCACGAAGGATAAGGTAGAAGAGTGTCACCGAGACGCAAAGCTCAGGGCACAGCTCTTGAATAACAGCACTGAAAGACCGCGATGTGAGATCCAAGAACTCAAAACATCTTCGCAGGGTGAGAGACTCGTTCTCAATCTTCCGCTGGTGGAGTGGGTTGTGCCAGACTTTCCTAGAAAATTTTGGGAAGAAAAGTTTAGCTTACGTATGCCCAGTGGGGGAGAAGCCAAAACAGGATCCAAGAAAGTACGGGGGGTGAGATTGGGTAGGAGTAGAAGGTTTACCATTGAATTATCGCCCTCAATTGATTAGGATGAGCAAGCAGGTAGAGAATATCGGATGTCTTCATAATTGTGCAATACGGAGGTGAAGGAATATAGGATCAGGGCAGGATGAGAAAGGAGGGAGGGTAGCTGGATGGCGGCCGGAAGGAGTAAGAGAAAGGGAATTTAAGGGGAAATTTGAGAACGTGACACGGCAAAACAGGCCAGGCACGGTGGGAAGAGGAGAAGTGAAAAGTTAGCCCCGGGGTGAGAAAGGTCAATCTGGGGGAAGAGCCAAGGCCAAGGGGAAGTGTCAGACTGGACCTGTTGCAACAAGGAGTTGGGGTTGTCAAGCGACCATCGAGTGAGATTATGGAACTTCAAGCCCACCCACCAGGAAGCCAAACCAATTCACTAGACTAGACTATACGAGATGCAAGATATACTCGAGTACAGGTAACTTATGATATTATAGATAATAATAACATGAGCCTGGCTTTTTTCTTCTTCAAAACCTACACATAGGTCTTTTTTTTTTCGCCGAGATGAGAAAAACGCATTTCAATTTTGATAGGCGGCAGTGCGGAGGGAAGAAAAAAAACAAGGAGCTTAAAATTACTGTAATTAGGTTACTACGCGGACAATTGAGATAGAATAAAATTTTATGTGACTCCAGGTTCCTTCAGGATCTGGGATAGTAGTTAATAAGTAACTTTTTCCTAAGTGATACAAATTCAAAGATGTACTCGGGTACAGGGGTACGGTACTGTTGGCGGAGGCCTGTTTGGCACCAATGGCTCTATACGTGGAACAGAATAAGAGGATGGCCAGAATCAGACTGCTTACGGCGATACCAGAAAATAACATAGCAACTGCCATGCTCCTGACGAGCTTTCTGATGAAGAGCGATTTGAGGTTGGTCACCAACAGGAGATGGGCATTTGACACAAATAGAGGTGGCATGAGACCCAAAGTTTGGATGTCAACAGCCTCAACCACTCAACAAGTATGTTTGCTGATGGATGAGTTTGCAGCTAAGGCTGCAACACTATTTCTGGGAAACAGGATACCACTTAAACCATCAAAACTTGTCCAGGTCATTTCACAAGATGTGGAGCTCTGTGTCAAGGCCAAGGACAAGGTATAAAAGGACATATGGACGGAGTGGGTGGAGGACACATACCCTGGCTACTACAAGTTTAGGCCCCCTGTTAGAGACTGTTGGAGTTTTATGACACTTTCCAAGTTCCATGCTGGAAGGATACACCAGATGAGGGCACACAAGAGTTACTTAAATGCACATATGGATTGGTCAAACCAGGACAGGGATCCACTCTGCAGCAGATGCCACGAGGAATCCAAGACCCTGGAGCATATAGTTAGATGTCCTAAGCTAGTAGAAGCGAGGCAAGGTCATCTATCAGAGGTATTCAACATGGCCCTAGAGTCGGGAATATGGAAGAAAGGGAAATGAGCATAGGCTTTGTTGAAGTGTTTTGTGACTTATATGTTGGAAAGTAGGATAAATTTCCCTGTACGGATGGGGGTTTTTCCTTTTACTAGAAATGCAGGTTAAGTATCATGATTTACTAAATTGTTTGGTAATGAGTAAGAGGGAGTGCATTGATAAAATTTTATTGCTAAATTGTTATGTAAAGGTGTAGGGGAGTTTTCTTTTATTATATAAGTTTTTAGGTCATAACTCAGGGTTGATACCATGGATTTTCCTGTACTTAGGTGCAAATAAACCATAGATTTAACAAAAAAAGAAAAGAAAACTCAGGTACAGGGGTATTTCAGGCCTAGTAATACAAGTTCTTACTCCGCTAGGTAGAACTCACCCCTCCTGGCCATATCATCCATATTATTGCATCTAAGTCAGATAGAATAGAACAGCAATAAATAATGTATCCAACTCCTGTGTTACTCATTCACCCAATTCCTCTAATTCTATTATGAAATCAAATATCACTTCAAAAATTATAAAACAAAAAAAATACTTGTAAGTAAAATTGTTATAAAGCCAGATACTGAGAAACATTATGAGATAAATAGAACTAGATTATTATGCTCCATAAACAGGCTGAATGGAATTGGTATGAAATTTGCCAGAAGTAGAATATCAGTTGAAGAACCTACTAGAAGATATATTAGTAAAAAAATCACCTTATATCAAGAATGTAAGCTTATGGTAAAAGGTATCAGAAAAGTATCTAGATATCAGAAGTACTGGGATCTGATACTCAGGAACCACTCTAAGTAGGATAATCCTACTTGGAATTGGAATCTCTGGTCTCCAATACCCCACTCTGGCCTTCTTATATGTGTTAGGTGGAGACAACCTGTATAGAATCAGAGTTGTCTAAGTCAACCAAGATTTGTTTCTGTAGACAGAGATTGTCTAGGATGGCTCGAACTATACTTGTTTTGTTTATGACTATTAAGAGTAAGGGAAAGTAAAATAGAATCGTAAAAACAATATTATATTGTTAAAGTCTCTTCTCCATTGCTTGATAATGTCTAAAAGCTTGTGAGGTACTTTGATATTTATATTCCATGTCTGAGTGTTTGCGGACTACATCTATCTATTATACAAACTATGTACCTCTCTGCTTATAATTCACGATGTCGGGTATTCTTCAAATATGCGAACAGTTGGAGACCCTGAAAACCACCACATCCTCTTTAGTAATTTCTGTATTACTAACTAGGAACTATACTGTTCCCAACAGTTATTATCTGATCTTTAGAGTTATTAAACTTATGGCCTACTTTTTAAGTTGAACTAAGTTGGCCCCAATTGTCTCCCTTATCGATAAAAGGATCAGTTTCATCTGCAGGTTATATCTGTAGTGGAAGTTACAATTTCAACCTTCCTAGGTTGCCTAACCTTTAACCTCCATAACTTTGGAACCAACTAATAGATGTTTTCTGGATAACTTCCAAATAATTTGAAGGAAGCCAGTTTACTGGATTGGCAGATAATTCCTCGGTCGGCAACTCTGTACAGTTGTATATATAACCTTCTTAGGTTGCCGACTTTGAAGCTTAATATCTTCTGATCTAGCTGCCAGATTTCTATCCAGTGATTTTTCTCATATAGAGAAGAAGTACTTCTATAGGATACAATCTTAACGCTTTAGTCAGAGGTCCTCGACTATCATACAGGGAGCCTTACACTTGCAAGTAGTATTGGTAGAAAATAACACAATACCAGAAATAACTTGGATGACAACAGGAGTTGAACAGGTGATCTTCAGAAAGATATCATGTGATATTTCCATTGGGCTACGCAACTGAGATATGTATATATGATGATGTGTAGGTCCCATAAGGGGGCTGAAGAGGGGTGTTGGAGACCTGAGATTCCACTTCTGGGTGGGATTACCCTACTTAGAGTAGTTGCTAGGTATCTGATCCTGGTATTCCTAAAAATAGTGCCCCCACATTATTATACATATCTGTCTTAGTTGTATCCTGTGACTATGATGTTACAGAATTTAAGGTTTCAGAATAATACCGTATATGTTACTATCATCTGACTGACTAGATCCTGTTCATAGGATATATGAGATACCTTTAGCTAGGTCTGGGAAGTAGAATGGAATAGATCTGTCAACTACTCAGAGGGCTGATAGACTTCAAAGATAGGACATCTTTAGTATAGGCCATAAGTAATGGGATGTTATACAAAGACATAATATTGAATATTAGAGAATCTTTACAAAGAACCAATACATTCACATCTACCCTACAATAATTAAGAAGTATTAAGAACTCTTAGGTAACAATACTAAAAAGGCCAATGGACTTCAAGGGTGTTACAACTAGGTTACGGGATGTAAGGTAGTTACAAAAATTATTCCCAATACTGGACAACAGCTAAAGCCCCATTACCTAAATCAACTAGGAGTTGTGGACTGAGGGAATATTTGCCAATCTGGTAAAATGGTATTTTGCGAATTAAGATGAAGTCATTTGGAGGATATATATTGGTTGGATCAGAAGTTATGGAGGTTTATAGTCGGCGATCTAAGAAGGTTGTATTTATGACTACTCTTGCAGACACGATCCACAGATGAAACTGATCATTTCATTAATAAAGAAGCCAATTGGGGCCAACACAGTTCAACTTAAGAACTAGGCCATAAGTCCAATAACTTCAAAGATCAGAGAAAAATACTATTGGAAACAGTATATTTTCCAATTGTTAAATTAGTAATTACTGAAGAGAGTGTGATGGTTTTTAGGGTCTTCTAGTGCTTGCACTTGAGGAGAATACCTGACAGTGCAAGTTATAGTGAAGAAGGTACATAATTTATATAAAAGATAAACATTGTACATGAACACTCAGATGCAGAATATAGATATCGCAGTGCCTTCTTGGCTTTTAGATATCATCAAGCAATGGAGAAAAAATCTTAACAATATAATATTGTTTTTACAATTCTATTTTACTTTACCTTACTTCTAAGAGTTATAAATGAAACGAGTAACTCTTTGAACCTTCTTAGACATAGCTCCATCTCCAAAATAGATCATGCTTGTCTAGGCAAGTCTGAGTCTATGCAGATTGTCTCTGCCTAATACTAGAGTACTTCTAGTATATCCTTTCACCTAAGTAGGAAATCTTTGTACAGTGATATATAAATTTAAAATAAACAATTTGCACTAAACAGCTTGGTAAATACATAATTATATATACTTTTCAGGATTCAAAGTAGTAAAGTCATTTTGCATGAGTTTTACAAATATCATTTTCAAATAATGACTATTGTAAAACTTATCCAATTGTGCGTAAATTTTAACTCATGATAGAAATGTCTTAGGCCCTGTTCGGCCGGTAAGAAAGATAGCATTTTTTTCACTTTTATGCTATTTTTCTGCTCTTTTATTAAAAAATAAATAGAGGCCTATTGAGTACACCTATAAAATTGACCTTTTCTTTAATAGAGTGGCATTTTATTTATGGTATTTTTTTGTAAAATAGGTAGGAGATTAGGGTATAAGGGAAATATGAAAACTAAGTTAATGAAATGACTAATACAACCTTTATAAGAGTGATAATAATTCAAGTGAATATCTC